GTGTGTGTGTGTGTGTGTGTGTGTGTGTGTGTGTGTGTGTGTGTGTTGCTGTGGACCATTGTTGCACCTTTGTTCCAGCCGTGTGGGCTGTTGTATGTCTAGTGTCGCTTTCTTTTTATAAGAAAGTAGTTTTCTTTTGCTGCCGTGCAAGCAGCTAGCCCTTTTATAATAAATATCCTTTTTGTTAACCGTCATCGTTGCTCAGTCTCTCTTTCCCCGGAAAATAACACCGTTACTCCCCGCATCCCTTAGATGCCTAAAAGGGGAACGTAACACTGGCCAAACGTGTACAAAGCTGTTGCCGTTGTAAAATGACAGAAGTTGTTGAGCATGTTTTTGGTGACTGCTGCCATGAAAGCAGTCCCAGCCCTGCCATTGCCAAATATCACGTCACCTATCCTGAGATGACAATGAAAGCAGAGAAGGGTTGAAACCACTGGGATTCACTAGAACCTCACTGTTAAAATGGAAAACCAACATACCATTTACTCAACAGAATACCAAGCACACGTAACAAACTGCGGATGAGACAGTTCATACCCTTTTCTTTTCTCATTTTTCTGGAGACGGACATCCTCCATGCCTTGTTTGGGATCACCACGCAGCCACAGGCTCCAAAAATGAATCAAAATAATCACGCCACCTTACACCGCTCGCACTGTAGAAGGGATTTCATCAAGGGCTGCAAATGGGCCCTCCAAATGAAGCAAATAAGTGTCGTGATATTTAGAGAGTCTCGCAGTAGCCCATAAAACCGAATCACAGTGTTACACTACATGTGCTGCACTCAAAGCTTATAATAAGATGTGACATCTTCGTGGGAGAAAGCAAACACACCCAGAGAAAGTTGGCAGAGACCGTAAGCATCGAGCCTTGGCCCGTAGGAGCATAATTAATGAAATGTAGGCACGGGGCCACTTACTACACATAAGGTAGTCTAGGGGGTATGCATTACCAGTCTGTGGTATGCATGTGGGTAGCTTAGTCTGCTCTCTCTGTCCTTGATAAAACCAAAGAGCCCCCCCCGTCTTTCCAGAACTATCCACCATGACTCCTCAATCTAAACATAAGGAGGGTAGAGATGTAGACTGGAGATAGTCACAGCGGCCTGGAGGAAGGATTCGGTCTGGGGATAGGAATTTTTGGAGAGCTTTGAAAGGGAAACTGGTGCAACATGAGTGGACATGAAACAGTTACGTTGAAAAACAAAACAAAAGGTAATGATGATTGATTTGGCATCATCAGACGAAGACAGGTAAATAAATAATCTCAAACTGTCATATGCCAAGCATGTATGTCACATGTTGCTTCAGTACACGTGACAAACTGCAGGGTGCCGTCAATACAATTTGAGGAAGTTGTTGCAGATACAAAACTTTTGCCATATTAGTACACAATTCTTTGAATAAAAAAAAAAAAGTGGAAGTGGACGCAAAAGAACGTATCAAATAATAAACAAGTATAAATAGAGTAGATAAAAGGGGAATTTAACAATACATTGTGTGTTATTTGTATCACATCAATTGGTTATAAAAATAATAAAGCTATGCTGATCCTTTAGCCATCTCCTCATTTTACATGCTTCTATCTGATTATTATAGATCCTCCTCTAATACTAATGGGGAACTAAAAGGAAGATAAATAAGTCATTTAACAAGTTTACGATGGAATGATGCTAATATTTATGACATTATCAATATTAAATGGCAGAGCAAAACAGCAGCCGCTAATATCAAGACATATCTTACAGTACAGAGAGTAAAATGTGGTCAACCGTTTAGCGAATAAAGCAGTCAAAGAGTCAAACAAGAAACCAATTGAGATTACTGATCTCTGCGTGTTCAGCTGATTACACCTCTTCAGTGGAGCTGCTGGCAGCAGTCAGTCCTTCATAATACGAATGAAGACTCTGGCTCCACCTGGAGGACAACTGTGTACATGCAAGCCGTACATTGCTTCCTAGATTCTGAGCTTGCCCTTGCCAGGGTATATATGTATATATACTGTATATACAATTTTGACTTTTATTTAAGTCAAAATTTGTATGCATGACTTTTACTTGGCTACCGTTGCTTCAGTAACCAATGCTTCTTCCGCCCCTGCACCACATATACATCTTCTACTCACGCCTTCACAACTAGCAGAGTTGTGGCTTAAGCTTGCTGACATTCTGTGCAGACTTTATACGGCAAAACACACACACACACCCACGCAGCTCTCTGGTGTGAATGTTATGAAGCTTCCGAGGCGCTGTGAAAAATGTAACACTGAAGCTGACCAGTGACCCCTGACTTGTCCCACAGCAGCTCCCAGGCTGACGGGACAAGAAGTCATACATTGCCACGGGCTGTAGTGCTGAGAGGCCTGCTGGCCATATACCAACACTCACTATTCCCGCTAAAGAGGATGTGTTTCTGCAAAGGGCCTTGTTTTGGGATGTAGTAGACTGTCAAACTAAAACTCACAAGGTCACAACCAACACAAAAATAACTTCATATTGCAAAGCAGAGGGACCATATCTTCATGTTTTTTCCATGCGTAACTGTGTTCTTAAGCGTGTGTATTGTAGAAGTAAATGAGCCGAAACAGCAGGGGGCGTTGTTCACCATAACAATATTAACATCATCCATAACTGTAATCAGATCTTTGAATGAAATGTTTGATTTTCGAGCTCAGTCTCAGTTCAGATCACGTTACACAGTCTGTGTATTTACCTTTTGCGACATGTACATAACTTCCTTTACATGCAATCCTTTCTATCAGGATTCCTGGTAGCTTCTTTTTTTTTTTTAGAGTCTCTCCTCCCGGCCGCTGGAAAGAGCAAATGAGCTCCGTAGAGGTGTCTTTAAATGCTGACCCTGTTGTGCAAAATGGGCTGTCGTTTTCTGCTCGGTTGGTTTCACACATTGACCGTGACCCTCTGAGCCAGCAGTCCTCGGGGCATCCCAGGCCGAAAGCTCGACGTGTGTGGAGGGAGCCAAAAAAACACAGGATGCAGAGGAAAACCACCAAACTCCTGAATATCTCTGAAGGAAATCACTAATGACCGCTGGCCTTCCTGCTATTTCACTTAGGGATTGGAATATTAAGATTTTATCTTGTTTGCATGCAGGACTGAGACATTTGTGGTTCGATATGCCGATGGAAAAACAGTATAGTAGTTTCCCATTCCGACTCTGAAAACCCTTACAAAACTTAAACAGAATTAAAGTAACACCCAGTCACATATTGTTTCCAAAAACCTCCCCAAATAATCTTCTCGCCCTCTGTTCCTTTAGTGAACAGGCTTGGCAGTCCTTTTTCCATGAGCGAGTGCATTTGTGAGTCAATGTGTTCAACTCCCACCTTTGCGATGAGGCCCCCTCCACCGCTCTGCTGTCGGTGAGGGCCCACATGGAAGCGATTAGGCCGCGCAGAGAGTGAAATTACAGAGGGGAACCTACCCAACTAGAGCCCTCCTATAACCACTCGCTCGTTCGCTCGGTTTTTAACACACATGAACGCAAGCTCCGAAAGCACATAGAGCCGAGTGAACACACACAAGATACGGAGAGACAGATGGGCACACACACATACACACACACACGTGCCCTCACACGGGAGCTCTGCAGCCACCTTGCCTGAGGCTGTGTGTTTCCACTGCTGGCTCTGTTGGGACAAGGCCACAGTGTGCTTCCCTCCCTCTCCTGGACGGGAGTGGGGCTGTAAATTCCTCAGAAAGTGCTGTTAAGAGCGCCTCCATTAAAACGGGAGGGGGTAGGCGCTCGCCAGAGAGGAGCCGACTCAATAAGTCATCGTCGAAAAGCCTGGAGGCCTCGCTGGGGCCCACGGGAGAGTCACTACACAGCCACAGACTGCGCCGTCCTGTTCAACACACCTCGTTCACCTGGAGATACAGGTGTTGAGAGCGCCGCATGCATCACATCAAAGCATTATTTTACTGCCTCATGGTGTATCTGTAGGGGGTTGATTGACTCGTCAATTAAAAGCTCTGTGATTACTCGCACAGCTGTTGAATTGGGAGGCTCTTTTTTTTTTGACTCAGTTTTTAGCCTCTGCTGCACAGGAACAAAACTCCCTTTGGCCGAAATAATAATCTCTTACTCCCGCCTACTGATCAAAGTCTTTTTAATAAGAAGTATTATACAGCAACACTCTTCAGGAGGTGAGGAGATCAGGTCAGGTTTCAGGTCCAAGAGTTTCAAAATAAAAGTCCACAAAGGTGCCATTGTATCTGCTGATATGGCCAATGCATAAAAGTCATACTAAACTTACTGTAGATTCATTAGAAGACATGGATGAAACACGACACATTAACGCTTTGGGCCGTCAGTGTGTTCACACTCTGAAAGGTGATCCATCTCTGTAGCTCCGTGTCTGAGAACCACAGACATTGTTATACCAAACTGTTGTGTGGGATAATATACCCTGGTAATATTATTCCAACAGGTAAAAAGCTTGTCCAGTTTCGATGGCTGCTCAGCTCAAGTTTTGCAACTTAATAAACCATCCTCAGGCTTTTTAATAATTGTAAAAAGTTAAATAAAAACAAGGACATGACCCAGGAGCTTTAGAACACCCCTAACACCTCATCCCTCCTCGTGTTGTCATTTGCTACTTGCGCCATCAACCCCCGAAAGTTTATGAGAGTGGCACGGTTGTGTACACGCTGCGGTGTCTGGATGCACGTGAACCATTCCCTCCCCTCCACCCAATCAAGCCCATTATTATCCCAGGCGTGCTGCAAGCTCCCAAAATATCTGTCACGCAGCTGTCGGCACCTCTCTGCTCAGCAGCTGGAGAGGCTCCGGGGCACTCCCTCACTTTTTTTTTCTACCCTGGTGCCGTGCACCCTCATCCTGAGGGACAATGGGGCAAATAAACCCTCCTCTAACATCGCAGAGTTTTAGGCCCCACCAGTGTTTGTTTACTCGTCAAAGCAACTCCTGAGTGGTCCTGTGCACTTATGAGCAATAACAAAAATCCCAGACAAATGGTGTGAAAATGAGCCACAGAGAATGTGAAGTTAGGAAGCTTATTGGGCTGAACTCCTCTCCACAATCCCTACTATATTTGCTCTTCGCTGCAAGGCCCACATGTTGGCCTGATTTGTTCGGCAATGAGGTAGGAAAGGCTGTGTTTAGTGATTTAAGAGCAGCTGGACATCTTGTAAAGGCATGATGCAAGCCTTAAAAAGACCAGGAGGACGATATTAAAACAAAAATAAAATCCTTCAGATTTAGTGTTTTTATCTTGAACATTTCTTTTGTGAAAAAATATGGCTCTGAATTCAACAAGTTAAAAAAAAAAGAAAAGGGGATTTTAGTGGACGCACGATACATGGAGGAAAGCAGGACACCTCCTCATGGTGACTGTGAGGACCAGCATTTGTGGCTGGAGGCCCCCCCGAATCAAAGTCAGAGACTGAAATGCACATTTAAACCTTCGGCCTCCTGCCAACTTGTTACGCTCCATCCCACTCGCAGCGGCCGCCTCTCAGGGCAATAGGAGGAGAAAGAACATATTGCACTTCCTGTTGAGATTTCGAGGGAGAGCGATTGAGTACGTGCTCTGGAAAATCTCAGCTGCTCTCCTATGGTTAGGATAATGTATGACTGCAACTAATCCAGTGTTAGCCTTCAGAGTTCTTCTTGAGTCCGTGCCAAGATTTGATTCGAACCAGACTTACTTTATGTCTGGCTAGCTTTTTCTTTCCTTTTTTCCTTATTTCTTTACCTCATTCCTGATTTCCTTTGTCCGTTTGCGAGCCCCTTCATAGGCCTGATGTAATTCTTATCCAGAAGAAAAATAAGTTCATGGTACATTCACACAAACTTAAAACAATAGTTTCACAGCAGCAGGGAGAACACTGGCGCTTGTGACTTAACAACATGATCCTCTTCTGACATGCCAAGGCCTTCCTCCCTGCAGGAGCGACATCATAATATCAACTCCAGGAGCATTCTTCCTGTCTTACCCCCCCCCCCCCGCCCCCCTGATCCTCGGCTTGTCCCTTCTTGCCTTCGAGCATTCAGGAAACGGCTGCATGCAAGATTTAAGATGTGAGATCAACAACAGGGGAGACGGCTGCCACTGAAAAACTGGGCACCGACATTAGACAGGGGAAAGGATTTACTCTAGACAGGCACCACCTCGCTGCACAGTTAACAGTTTCATACCGTTTTGTCATCTCTGCATGTAATAGAAAAGGCCACCAGGTAAAGTCTGTAAAAAAAAAAAAAAACCTTTTCCACAACACACGTCAAGATTCTCTGTGAGAAAATGACTTTGTGAAAAGCTCTGTTTTTCCTGGCAAGAGTTGAATGCAGAGCATCTGATTCCACTTAGTTTCAAAGGTCTGAGTCCAAGGTTTCAAGCGAAATATTCACAGAAATCACACACACACACACACACACACACACACACACACACACACACACAC